TGCCCCCCACCTTCGGAGCTGGGTAGCTGAGAAGGGCAATGGGGGAAAGGGGACCGTATTGCGGGAGTAGGGGGTGGGAGGAGGTGGGCTTTATTGGTTACAGCTGGTCCACCAAGAGGTGGGGGACTGGGGGGTTTCTTTTATGTATAGTTGCTCCAGATTTTAGTCTGGAGTACCTGCCCAGGTCTGACTGCCTCCCTGGGGCCCAACAAAGACGGGAGTGAGGCGAAGAGACTCACCACCCTCAAACCCACATGCACCTTTTGGGAAAGGGAGGGAAAGAACACTCCAGGAAGGGGTAAGGAAGGATGCTTGGCTTTATGCTCGGGTTCTCATCATGAACCTGGGTGGTGGACTAGGCCGTTTACCCGCATCATCCCTGTCAATCCTTAACCCAACTCTACCTTAGTGTCTCGGCTCTGGAGACAGAGAAACTGAGGCTCTGAAAAGTCTTGATTAATTTGCTCAAGGTATTAATCACCGTGGGGCGATGGAATACAGAACCAGGGCTTGGATTCTAAAACCTGTCTTCATACCACTGTGTCACCTCCTTTCTTGGTATAGCATCATTTTCCTACCTTGTCTTGGCATCGCAGCTGTGGGAGATCCCTGTTTTTCTAACTTCTCTTCTCCAGTGATGCTTTCAGAGCTGGCCTGTTGGGTGTTGGCTGGCTTTGGTTTCCTGACCAACGAGACAGTCCATTTTCAGCCTCACCTTCCCCTGGGGAAGAATATGTTCCCCAGTCCCCGCGTATCCTGGAAGAGGAGCAGGAATCATCTGGCCCAACACCCACCTGTCAGATAAGCACCCTTGTCACAACTGGATTTCCTTTGGCCATCGGCCTCTCCCTTGTTCTTCTCCCCCCTGTGGGAGAACTTAACTCAGTGGAGGGTCCTGTGCCCCTTGGGTTCCTCACGCCTCCCCCAAGCAGCCAGACCCACCCTTTGGCTCCACCTGCTGGAAATGCACCTGGAGGGGGCCAGGGGAGGGGTGTGCGAAAGGGCTTGGCCTTCCTTTTGGGAGCCACCTTCTTTGCCCCACATCCTGCCAGGTTCTGGCTCTTTTCCTGAGCTCAGGGAACTCCCAGGACGTGACTCCTGTCCTAGCTGACAGAACAAGTTTGATTAGGGACCCAGATGGTTTCTTATCTCATCTTCTGTTGATTGTGACCCAGCTGTTAGAGGTCTCCCACTGCAGAAGACACATGGCCATCCCCCGGTGGACTCCAGACCCAGTCCTGCTACCCGGCTTTTGGGAGATTCACGCAAGTCCTTCCCTATCTCAGGGCCTCAGTTTCCCCAGCTGAAAAGCAAGAGGGTTAGATGGGCTGCCTTCTAAGAGCCCTTCCAGCTCTGCTGTTCCATGCTCTGTGCCGTAGAGGGAAGGTCAGCATTGCCCTTACTGTGTTCCACCAGAATGCCACTCTGTGCTCCACTAGGCCAAAGCTAGAGCTGCCTGACCTGTTGGACTTTGGGGCCCTTCTAGCTTGGTCTGAGGAAAAGGGCCTGCCAGGCTTACATTCTTGGCACAGGAGCCTGGGTCTTTATGACACACAGGTTGTAAAGGACCTTCTACCATCAAAAGTCACAAACTCAAATGCCAGTAGGGGCCAAGCACATAACACAGTTGACTGAAAGGAGCCAGGTGTGGACTCTGGGGGAATCGCAAAGAGTACCTCCCGTCTAGCGGGGAGCCAGCTGTTTGCCTCTGGGACTGTCTGCCCAGCAAGGTAAGCGAAGGCAGCCCTGAAGCTGAATTTTCATAGGGAATCTGGTTTTTAAATACTGGTGATGAATTCATACATTAAGGTAACCCTCAAGAAGCTAGATGAAACCCCATCCCCTTTGCTGCCTGCTTTTTAGGGGTGTGTGTGGTGACCAAGAGCATGAGCTTTGGCATCATATGGGCTTGGGGAACAGTTCTGGCTTGACCACTTAGCACCAGTGCAGCCATAGGTTACTGAGCTTATCAGGACCCCAGTTTCTCAGCTAAAACCCTGGACATGATCGCTGTGCTGTTTCCATGATAGGGATGTTCACTGGAGGGCCCAGAGCCGTGAGCACCAGCACGGGAAGATTGTTGCCTCTGCCTTGTACTGTTTCCTTGAACTTGGGCAGCTTCTGACTGAGGGTTCTGCTCTTCATGCCCGAGTTTGTCCTGTTGTCTTTGGTGTTCGTGTCACAAGAGCCAGCAAGGGTTGGCTGGCTCTAGGGCATGAGGGCTGCTTCAGACTCTCGCGGACTCTAGGACTCTAGACAGCAAAGTGAAGACAGATCCTGCCTGGGGTGGCAGGGGCGCCCATCCCTCGGTGGCCTGAGGAGGCCCCAGCCACTGACCAGGAGCACTAGAGGTTTTTGAAGGATGGCCTGGGGATGGTTGGTCCTGACCAACAGGATGCTCAGAGTTCGTCATCTTCAGGCCTAGGCGGGGCTGTGGACTCTCCAGCTTCACTCCCTCCTGGTACCCGCCGGGATTCTGCATCATGGCTGGAGTTAGGGATATGTAAGTGAAGAGGCCTCTAGGAGGGGAGACTCCCTGTGTGATCCTGAGCTGTTGGAGGCCCATGTGCCCAGAGGCTGGTGAGGTTGCATTCAGTGACACCTGAGATCTGAGGGGACCCAGCTTGATGTGTGGGGCATCAGTATGGCGTCGTGGTTACGTTCTGGGGTTCTGGAGTCAGACAGCCTGTGTTCATAGGCCAGGATCCTGACCTCTCGTGGCCTCCCTTTCCATGTCGATGAAA